GTAAAAGTATTTCACTGCAGCGATGCAACGGCGCGGCCGACCTGAGCAGTCAACTCACGTCGTGTTTTAATTAAACAGAAAGCAAATCTGAGCTGTACAAACATTTGACAATGATTCATTGAGATATTTCTCCTGCACAAGTAGCTCTAAGGTCATCAATGATTGCTAAAGCCACTTCCAATTCCTGCTTTCAGCGATTTAATAACAGTACAGGTCAAAACCGGAGGTGAGCTTTTTTTTTCTTTCGTTGTGCTTCTCAAATTGGAATAATTTGGATCTTTTAAAAAAAAAAAGTCTTGGATAATTCTGTGCCTTTTCAAGCTTTTTGTTCTTTTTCCAGGTCTGAGCTTCAAAGAAAATGAAAATGGTTCCTTTGGCACAAATCAAACAGCTAACCCTGCAGCCCCGCCTGTGATCGGCTGTGATACACACGTCATGCAGGAGGAGCGGCGTGAACACAAACGGCGAAGGTGAAGAAAAAGTAACGCATGCATTTGGTCCAAGTTTGGCAGCTAAAACCACGCCAACTTTGTCATTTACCACAGCTTGTTGTAGAAGACTCAAAACTCATCTTTGTTGTGCTGAAAATAAATATTGCTGAAAAAAAAAAAGGCCAAACGTGGTCCTAACCGTAGATTTGTAATTAGGCACGAATACTGCAACAAGTCGAATAAATGTACAACCCCAGTTCTAATAAAGTTGGGATGTTGTGTARTAAAAAACTGCATCGTTAAAACCAAGAATTTTGTTGGGAATGAGGAAATAAAATGGTGTAAAAGAGGTTTTAAAACAGGGGTGRGCAATCCTGGTSCTCGAGGGTCGCAGTCCTACAGGTTTTATGTTTTTCCCTGCTCCATCACACCTGATTCAGACATTAAATTACCAAGTTCTGCAGTATGGAGGACCGACACTGACATAACTAGAAAAAAAGCAGAAATATATAAATGGACCAATAAATAAATTCTATTAAAATGAGCCAATTAAATTAAAAAAGGAGAGCTTTACCTCACGTTTTATAATTTAATTGACCTTCATATTTATTTTCCAACTTAGATCCAACT